TTTAACATATAAATTTATATTTTAAATAAACTGCTTTATAAAAAATATATATGTAAAATATTTCTAAATAGAGTTAAATTTTATACTGACCCACTCTATCATTTACACAGTATGACTCCAATATAAACTCTTGTATTTACAAGGGTTTCTTAATCAGTATTATAAGAGTAAATATTAATAATAAAATTATTATATTTTTTTCATTAATTTGTATAAAAATTACAAAACATAATTTATTTTAAATATAAATTTATGTGAATGATTTTAATTATACAATTGATAAATTAAAATTAAATTTTTTAACCATCTTCAATTTTCCTTTAAATACAATTTTACTTTAATTTAACTTCAACTATTTCAATTATATTATCAATAATAAGATAATATTTCAATATGCATATTTAGTTCCCCTTTTAACAAAATTTTACTTTAATTTGACCTCTAATTAAATTTTTAGATATATTTAACAATAATACACGAAGCAAACTCTATTCAAGAACCCCACCAAATGGCCTGATGGCTGCGCATTTCATTAAGATCGGTGAGTTGTTCATTTGATTTGGGAATTGAATCCCTAATTATTAATTTTTAACCATTTTAACGTACTAATCATTGTCCTTAAAAAAAAAAAAAAAAAAACTCTATTCAACTTGCTTTCCTCCTCAATTTGCTTTCCTCCTTTAAATAATTAACCTATTGAATTAGCTCTCAACCTATTGATACTTTCATAAAGGATAAGTCCTATCCTAGTGTTGTCCTGCGCATTCACCGAATTTGGAATGCGATAACCCGAGGCAAAGAAGTCATCAATGGCAGTCTTGGTGTCGTGGAAATCGACATTAACGTGGGTTCCACATTGATGCTCAATATATGAGCGCTGATAAAAAAAAAAGAAAAAAAATGCTCAATGTATGAGCGTATAGGTATTGTATATCATTTGGAAATATATGGATGTAAATTTTTTGAAGTAAATATGTTTTATTAGCACTAATGCTCCTTTAATTTGATATATTTAATTTATTTAGTTATTTTTTTAATTTTTATGTGATTTTGTTTTATTATATAATTTCTATAATATTCTTACTTACCAGTT